CCTCCTGTCCAAGGACACACGCCATGACGACGATGCAGGTGTGCACTCAAGCTGCCCCGAAAGCAACCCCTCTCCCCCATCTTGTCTTGACTGCTGTACTACGAAACATGTCGAGTCTCGCTCATTGTCCCTAAAGATGGCCTCTTTTACCAAGGCGACAGCTTAGACAAATACAAATGCTCTCAGAGCGGTCGCGTCCTTATCATATTTATTACGAGAACCTGGGACACGCACATTCGCTTCTATAGGGTCGTCCAATCTCTTGTGCATTTGCAATGGGAGAATAGGGACAAACAAACCACACAAAAAAATAAACGTGCATTTTCCATAGCAGTTGGAGCAACAATTCCTCATGTATTTTTTAAAAATAATTTAGCTTAGTCGATATGCATTTTCTGCGAAAATTTCGACTGTACGATATACACAGAAGTTGCCTCCCGTGCCAGGAAAGTCACATGAAATTGATATTCATGGAAATAAACCATCCCTATCCTACTAGCACTCCGATATGCATTGGACAAATTCCCCTTTGGGATGTGCTTAGCTGTGAATAACAAAGTCTGTGGATGATCAATGGCGCCCCTTCCCTTCCCCAATAGGTTGTAAAAACTTAGCAGCAAATTGGTTCCTCAGGTTGAGATAATTAGGCGCTTTAATGCATGATCTGTCTGCTTTTGCGTAAGTGGAACTCACCGCATGAGCCTTCAGGTACACGCGCACATAGTAGATTATCTGACTCCTGCAATGTAGGATCAAAATATGAGGGAGTGGTGCAGTGTACAGTCATTCGTGTCATTTCGAGCTTTTGACTGGAGTTGAGGCTGGGAAACCTTCTTACTAAAGAATGCTACATTTTCATTGTTGTCTGTTAAATGATTTGGGTGAAAGAAGAGGTTTCCAGATACCCAAAATAATGGCCAACACTATCCACTATCATGGATTAAACTGGATTATTTTCCTGCTTTGTGTTATAAAAGGACATTACTATAAGCTATAAAATGTTCAACTCAGTTTCTGCTGTAACTAGAAAAGGGATCTTAAGTCAATGGCTAAGAAATCCTATTTTTCTGTAAGCAAGGACAGAATTCGGTTTTCAAAATATTGTTTGCCAACTCCTGAAGTGTTTTCGCCCTAAAATGCAAACACAAATTGCCTTGATCGTACTTTGTTTTACCACGATGAAATTTGGGGCCGCAAACAAACATGATATTTTACCAGGAGATGAAGGTCGGCAAATTTCTTAGTAAAACTAAAACATCCATAAAGCGCTCTCCATATCTTATAGTTTCCGGTTCTTTCTAATAAATAAACGGAGCGGGCAAAATAGCTACAGTTCTTATTTATTTGTATAGTATAATAGTACGGCATGGTATACTTATGGAATGATATAAAATATTTTTATAATATATTCCTAAAATGGTCAGCCACTCTGTTGTGTGTTTGCAGTTTTAGAACAGGGAGTAAATCGAATAGAGATAAGGAGGAATGCTCTAATGCATAGAGAAAAGTAATTTTTTTTATTTTCAGCAAAACTCCTTTTATTTATTTTCAGGGTAGCCAAAAACGGCCCAAAGTTCCCATTTTATCTTGACTTAACCTGCAAAGAGGTAAATTATACAGGTATTGGTCAGCTAAACTTCTTATTAAAGGCCAGATTATTTGAAAGAAGTTTTTATTTAATCGTAGGCATATGCTTTGTAAAGATTTGCCATGGTCTTCATTGTTCTTGGCAAGTTACTGACAAGATTGCATAAGATTTTGAATTTATTTCCAACGACCACTTACACCTGAAAGAATTTCCACAAACCCACTCCTTAAGCGGTTAAGGAATTTCTTATTTTTAAGGATTTGATAAGAACAACGAACAGAATCTACATTTATTGCCAATACATTGCAAATAGTGAAAATTATAAAACGCTTGCTGGAATTTCAAGAGTTAGCTGAAGCATATTGCAATTCAATACCAGAAATAAATACAAAAGGAAAGCCCTTTTAATATACGCCGAGTTGTGTGTTTCCGACTTCACCTGTTAATTATATTAGCATTTATTAGTCACAGTTAGAATTATTTAGTACGCTACGGACACAAGCGATCATAGGGCTATTTACACTACGTTCCGCCTAATAGTGATGTCCTAAGTACCTATAACCAGACACTGTATTTGATTTGAAATTTTTAAGCATTTACTACCATTTTACTCATTTTGGTCATAGAAGGAATTTTGAAGTTTTCCTGAATCCTCCGGGCAAAAATTACATCTCACCCTATTACTTGATTTCTTTAATTTGTAGGGATATTAGATATTTGCTCCACTAGCCTACCTTTACATTCAAACAGAATAGTATTCTTTATTTACTGCAGGGTTTTGTATGAAAGTAGATTTCATATCTCCCCTCAGAGGCCTAGAGGCATGATATCTTACGGGATTCCCGAAGACACGATTGATTTGGAAAACAACATAGGTGCATTATGAACAGCAGCAATCAAATGTAGGCAGACGGTTTCGGTTAATTTTTGATAAGTCTTTTCTCAATCGCTTAGTCCCTAAATGTTCCCATATCTGTTATTTGAATGAAGACATGTAAACTCAATCGAAATATAATTCGTCGAAAGTAACTACTGAGTAAGCAACAGTAGAAACAATAAGAAAATAAATTGTCTGCAGGGTTGATGGGGTGATTTTGGCAAAGAAATTGAGGATGTTCGAAGAACCATTCGGACTGCAGGGTCCTTGAGCACTGTTAAATGAATGCGTTGTTGTCTCCAGGCTGTCAGCGATGCAGTTTATAGGCATTCGACCAAATATCCGCCAAACAAACAGTGGAGTGAAATCGAAAGAAGATGAGCAGTGGGAGAGAGACATGAGTTATTATCTTCCATGCTATGCCTGTGTAATACATTTTGTGAATTTGGTGATTCTCAGCATGCTTCAACTCAAATGTGTTCACCACCCACATTGCCAAGTTGAGAACCAGGAGGAAGGTGAGAAGAGTACGACCGGGTTTGTTGAGCGCATGAGCTTGACTTTTTGCACACCTTCGGGAAGCCTCCAGAATTAGAAAAACCTATAGATTTAAAAAGCACACATGACCCATCCATCGAACATTTGCTATAAAAGGTCGGAACACGTGTTCTATTTTTTGAAACTTATTTACGATTTGCAGTAGGTGTGTGTGTGTGTGTTATTTCTTTAGGCCTTCATGAGTCCTCTCAAAATTTAGGGCACCTTTGCCCTTGCTTTCAAGCGCCAACACCTATCGTTGATAAACATTCACCAACCGCTAACATAACTCACTGGTCCTACTCTGCCGTGGGTCGCATTTCTCGGGCCCTGACGGCAGACGTAGTGATTATTATTCCTAGGCAGAGATTATTGCCGGCGGACACAAGGGAGACTGGAATGGTCCTTTCTGGCAGCCAGTCATACCCAAATCCAAGTGGCGCTGCGGTTGCTGTCAGGGCCCGAAAAGTGAGACACAAAGCAGAGCAGCACAAATGAGTTTCGTTATTGGTCGGTAAATATTCATCAACGACTGTCAATATTCCCCGACCTTAACCGGCAAGGTAGTAAGCTCGTAGCTCAATGGTTAGAGCAGTAGATCCGGATAGAAAAGGTCGAGAGTTCGCGATTCGGGTGCTTGGGGTTGAATAGGGCTGCCTGACGAACACTAATACAGTAGATTCCCTATCTCATGAAACGTCACCTGGAATTCGGAAATGCGTTTTCGATTCGAACGTAGTAATTACGTATGGTTTTAAAAATGACGATCATACAGCCTGATCTCAATGCATTTTGCTCATACCTGGATGCCGGCTTTTTAACGAGCTTCTTTCTGACCGCTAAGTAAAGACATGTACTATAAAAAGTAGCTACTTAAGTAGTATGCCTTTTTT